ATACCTATAATATATGCCTTTTTATAAATAGTTATAGCCGTGACTATAATACTTTACGAATGCATTATAATGCATTCCTAATAGAATAATTATTATGATTACTGCTTTAAATAAAGTATTACCATTTTGTTTTTTTTCCCCCTTTTGAAGCAAAGCATGCAAAAAAATCAACCAAAGATTGGTTTCTCTGGGTGTCTGCAGTGATCATTAAGTAGATTTGTGTTAGTGTGTTAAGAAGCTGGGAAACCCGATAAGTATTGGTGAGTCGTTGCCCTTCAGATATTTCGTGTCAAGCTGCTTGACTTCCTGCCCCCGAACACTACATCAAGATATACTGCTGGATGTGAGGTCTTTACAAGATAACGCACTGAGAAACAGTCGGGCGAGATATGCAGGTCACATGTGATGCCCTTACTTTCTTCACACAGGTTCAGCTTGGAAAGGTTCCTGCTACTCATGCCCTCATATCCTTCCTCGTAGAAGGATCCATTCTCCCGCTCCTCGTATGAGCTGACGTACATGGCCTTGTTGTCCATTGTTATCCGCTATGTCCTGGAAAGAGCGTCACACAACACTGTGTCAAAAGCACAGCACGCCGTCAGATTCAAAGCAACATATCTCACGGCTTTACAAATAATCCTCTAAATACTAAGCGAAATGACCAATTTTAATCAAGGAAAAGTGAACCAGCCCATCTAGAGACTGCAAGCTACACCTTCCGTAAATCTCTGTTCTTGAAGTGCTCCATTATTTAAGGATTGTGACACACATTTCTTCACCTAGTAATAGTCAAGGCAGCAGTCTATCTAGATCACCTTTGTTAATAATAATCAAATTGTCTAGCATCACAAAACAAATCTATGTTTGTGAAAGACGCAGCACTCCGCAAAAGTCTTAAGCAAAGAAAATTATGTTTGAATGATCTTCAGGTTGATATAAAACTATGATTGTATATCTGTAAGTGTGTCAGTTTAGCAACTTCAACACCTCTACTAAAGTCACCCCAGTATCCATCCAATATTCCCATATATTATGCAACTTGACTAGTAGTAAACCTTTGGCTAATCAGTGTTTCATTAAGTTATTTACTAATTAAGTTCATTCATTAATTGAGCTGGTGGAGAACTTTAACAAATACATGGAATGGCTGAGGTGCCCCTGAAGAGAGGTTTGGGAATTGAAGCGGCGTTCATCTAGCGATCCAACAAGATATCAGTAAGATCAAGACAGAATAAATTCCTATTACTTTTTGTTTTGTACTCTAAATTTTCATATGCTCTAATGTTAAATTATGTGTTGAGCAAATATACACTTACTTCCCAGTTAAATAACTTTAAACATTTTCTTTGATTTTTCACAATTTGGCACACTGGGGATTTATTTCCACACTTATTGCTCTGTAAATCTTGGGCAAATCATATAAACGTTAGTCAGAGAAAACACAACAAATTTTAAAACGTAATTCCAGTCGAGCTGTAAAATCATTGGCCGATGAAATACAATGCAGAAATAACAGGGATCCACAGAACTGTGTTTTTACGATTTTTTTTGTTTGTTTTGCACTGGGACAAAATTTGGGAGTTTGTAATCCAAAGAATCTCACAGATGGGCTGGCAAGTCTTCAAATATTTCCAAGGATCAGGAAGACAAACAGTAGGGATCAGATAATCTGGCATGGATTAAGAATACTCATGGGTGCAAACCAGTCAATACAACCCCCCAGACTAAATGGGTGGAGATCTCAATTCCCCCCATGCTCAACCCAAAATTATGCCCTACTTTAGAAAGGGGGGCCTTGTTTGTTTATTTTAAGGATTTAGAAAGGCTGTATCTACACTAGTGGCCCAAAATGTGGAAATACTTCCAACTTTTAGAGATTGCAAAGCTTTATTCAGCTCTTGCTCAAGTTACTTATTTAATCATCCAATGAATGATTTCACAAATATTAAATAAGTAATTGGGCAACAGTTGAATAAAGTTCTGCAATCTTTAAAAATTGGAAGTGTTTCCGGTCACTAGTGTGTAGGTGGTACTAGTGTAAAAGGTTGGGATGTTCTTTCACGGCAATGAGGTTTGGGTTCCGGTTCCGTCGTGCTGCCCTCTAGTGCCATAGATCAACCAGGAATCTAGTGGGATCAAGTCGGCGGCAGGGGACACGTCACGCGAAACAGACAGTAATTACCTGTACAAACCGCCGCCGGAGGATGCAGAAAACATGCAAACTCTACACACATTTAACCCAGGCGGAGACTTGGACCCAGGTCCCAGAGGTATGAGACAACAGTGCTAACCACTGCACCACCATGCCGCCCCCGTATATGAAACAAAGTCAAGTAATTCTGTCATGCATTCGGTCAGTAACAGCAAACGGACGCAGGACAGCAGGTGCCCAGATGTTAAGGACTTTAATGACACATGATTCTCAGAGGAGCGCGCAAACGTGTAAAACACTTATTTTCTGGATTGCCTTTCGCTTGCAAAAAGCGCTCATCATACTGACACGTTATATTTAACGTTTCTCGTTATTGTTTTAATGAATTACTAAACAGGTGTTATTGTACTCAAACTGATTGTCCTACGGACAGCATGCACACAGTAAATGATTAACTGAGGACTATAAGAATCTCATTGTATGGTACGGGGAGGTGACGCCGCGTTCAGCCCCCCTGTGGGATTGTTCAACAATAACCCAGAACTTCACAAGAGGACGGTTGGGCAAAGTCATTAAAAAGCACTCAATCTGGTCTTTTCATTACACAGTGGGTTGGCTTTTCTGGTCCAGCAGACACGACCATTAACACCCCAGGCTGCTAGGAGACCTGGGATTATCGCACAGGACCCGGAGAAAGACGCCAGTACAAGAAGGGCATCCCGCTCTCTTTCACATGCTTGTCTATACTGGGAAGGGGCTCCATCATCTTCCTGGCAAATTGCTTTTTAAATTGAAGTCAAGTTCTCTACTTGGGAACTACTGGCGGCGAGTTACTCCCCCAAACAAAAACAGTCACAAATTTTGATAGTCCTTTTTCCGGCTTACTGATCTTGTGAGATTCACTCCTAGAGAGAAAAGGGGTTTCTGTCAGATCTTATCATTAGAAAAGTTTAATCTCTGGCACTAACAGCTGTGACCGTCATCTTTTACTAGCCTCTGTTTAGAGTGATATTTGGAATCGGGGCTGACAGATTGCTCCTATGGGCAGCCTTGTTCTCAAAAAGCCGAAATAAATGCAGACTGCTTCGTTCTGTGGGTCCGTATATTGGCAGAAATAAAGGAATTTACGCGTGACGCTATAACAGAGTTCTTCCTTCTGCAAATAACTTCAGTCAGCCTTTTACAGGGTAACCCAGTGCATGCTTATTCACACTTGTCATTTGATATAAATAAAAATTCACAATGAACATTGTGGACATGCAACTCGTTTTATAGTACACACGTTTAAGAAAGTGATAAAAGTTGTCCGTTTTTGTATCTAAAGTACAGGTTTCTTGCGGTAATTCTGGAGGAAAAAAGTCATCCGAAATATTAGCTACAATACAAATAAATAAATATGCAACAATTTATACGTAATAAACCCTATATAATGAGGAAAGAAAAGCGATAAATAAGAAAAACTTTTACACCTGCCATTATCATCAATTTGTACAAACCGATAGCCTCGATGAAGAGAATAACAATCGACAGTCAAGTGTAGTTTAACAGGTTCCACACCTTGTATTACTTAAAAATAAGATTAATAAACTTTCAAAACAGCCTCCCACTTACCTTGCCAATTAAAAAGATGAAAGCAATCAACGAGTAGCACTTTCAAATATTAGCATTTCATGTTTCCTCGGTCTTGTACTGCGAAAATGCGATCATTTGATTACGATGCGTGCCATTTGGACCATTTAAACAATATGCTTCCCCTTCAGGGCGAAACTTTGTAGAATTTCATCTCAACCTTAGCAGAAAAAAAAATTATAATCTGGCAACTAGCACTAAACGTGCAACTGTGCAAAAGTCACACGCCACCGTTATAAATGATCATTCAGCCTGTATCTGATGTACGGAGCGTGCAGTATCGCGCGCCTGCTATGCTTTCGAGGAATATTCTCATTAGATAAATATGCATCTCATTGTATAGGATCTGGTTTCTCTGTTTATGCACCAAAGGCAATGTCCGGTAAAACAGTGTATTAACAACTTAAAAGGAGTTTTTTTTATGCCAAAAGCGCCCTCTCGTGGACAAGAAACTTTTCATTTCAATCCATTAATGGCAACTACTTTAGTCATTTTATAGGTACAGTTGTCTACTTGGCCAAATATACACCGATCTAAAACTGATAAGGAATAAGGGATAAGTAAATGTATTACTGTTTAATCTTTTGCTGTATAGGCCTAAAGCTTAACTTTAGTACCAGTCGTACAATAACATGTTTAGCGACATTCATCGGGGAAATATTCAGTATTCGATATTCATTTTATGCCGCTGGTACGTCTAGAATGTGAGATTGTGGTCGCCAATAATCCTTTTTCGTAAAGTAACAGCTCCCTGCCGAAAGCTGAACATGCGCAGCTACGCTCTCGATGCTTTCGCTACTCAAAAATGTCGTTTTCAAGAAGTTTTGAAAGACTGAGGCAATTATAATCAGTATAGGACAAAGGCTAAACCGCTATCGTGACATTTTTAGAGATTAATTTCAAGTGAAAAAATAAACTTTTTTGAAAAGTTATTTACAGGACTGCTGCTTTCCGGTAATCACTAGAGTGTCAAGTTGTCTAAATAAATAAAATTACAAATCATTTTTAGTTTACAGACTTTTTCAAATTTAGAAATACAGTTAAGCTAATGATTAAACTGCACTTTATGTTTGAGTACCGGGTAAATATAGCCGTTCAGACAAGGTCTTAATATTATATTTTTATCATAATATATTTATCACTAATTTTAAGATAGCCTACATGAAACGATCAGCGTCATATTTTGATATGAGCGTGCTGCCATGTTTTTTTCCCTTAGAATGACATATGAGGAGGTGCGTAGATTTCCCGGGAGGAGCGTAGCTCCTCCTCCGCCGTTTAATCCAGGTGTGTGAGGAAGTGCGACTGTCGACATTAAAGCCGCACAGGTAAGAAACAGGCCGTGTTACGGATAACAGCATTTTGCTTTATGCCTGATCGGCGTATTTGGTAGCATGAGATCGGTTTAGGATTAAGTCAATATCTAAATAGAGAAACTAACGTGGCATAAAATGAGACCATTTGGGAGACCATTTGCCCTCGCGCTGTTATTGTATTATCACTAAAGCATGAAGTTTTGTCTGCGGCGACTCTTTCAGGATTACGTCACAGATTTGTTGCTTTAACCTGCTTTGGTTTGTTTGCGCTTCGCTGTTTGTTTCGTATTCTTTCTTTTAGTCCCTAATGCAACTTTTTTTTTTCTTTCACCTGCAAGAAGTTTTTTGTTTTAGTCCCACAATTATCCCTCTTCCGGGCGAGTGCTGTTATAAAAACGTAGTTAGGAACCGAATTAGCTACAGAAACAATTTAATAGACAAGTGGGTCGGGTCCCGTTTAAAAAGCAAGCAGAATATGCAGTAATGTGAATCACCATGCGGTGGTGCATTGGTATCAGGGCTGTCATTTTACGTGACTCATAGTCTGTGAAAATTTTCCTTTGTTATTGTTTCCATATTTCGGCAATATTTTACTTTTTCAATGAATTGATCCACTTTTAAATTTTTATTACCTCACAAGCCCAATGACAGCTAAGATGGTGACGTGTTTTAATGTATTTCTTTACAAAATGAAAGTAAATATGAGTGTCACGGTGGTTGCATAGAATGTTTAGTTCAAACTGCGGTACAAGCGGTGGTTTGCGAACCAGAAAGGTAACACCGTAATATACAGGTATAAAATCTCATATTCTTTAAAGAATAAAATACCTGAAAACAGCATAATTGACAGCTACCTTAATAGTCAGTAGTTTGCAGCCCTGCTAGAAAACTGTCAGGTACCTGTTGGAGGGAGATTTACTGAAATGTGATTGGTTCGTTTGTTTAAATGCTTGAAAAGACCAGGATCTGATTGGTGAGCATGCTTGTCCGTCAGTTCACTTAATTTTAACAGTGGTTAAATTCGTAAATTCAGGTCGACGGATACTGTTTTAATTTCGAAACATCTCTTCTAACAGGAAAATGATCAGACGAATCCTTGCTAGTTAACCATAGTTATTTTAGATGCTGGCATTCCTGGAAAGGCGTAATATTGAAAGTGACCATAACTGGAGAAGTGAGATATCTTAACGTCTTAACTTTTTTGCAGCTATATTTATTCTCCATGCTCTAAGTAGTACTGAAAAGGGGTAGTGAGATGTACAGCTGAAATTAGCAAATTCTCCGAAGACTGCAATATGACTGCACATGGACTTTTAACACAATACTCTGAATGTACCTAGACAGTTGTCAGAAGCCAGAAATATATGATAGCATAACCATAACACATCTATTGCTGAAGAATCTCTCATAGCAGAAATAGTAGGGATATTCTGGCTGAATAACAAAAATAGTCTAAGCCAGGCCTCTTGTGTCCAAGTCACAATTCATACAATTGGCTTATGGAAAAAATAGCGTAAGTCTCAGTCCAGAAGTCAATGACTGCAACACTATTGCAGTAAGACTTGACTGCTTCCTACACTGGTGGTTTAATAAATGTGTCTTTGTGCAGGAAATATCATTCGGAATCTCTTATGAAAAATATCTGGTTCAGAACGTGTCATTCCCAGTCATTCATGCTTGAGTTTTCACCACTCGGGAATTGAAAGTGCCATGCTGCCTTAAGAACTTGTAAGTCAATTAGTTAGTTTTTACCCTCAATTATGAATAAGTACATAAATGTATTTACATCCTTATACTGCTACAAGAAGTAATACAGGTATAATTTAACCATTAGGCCTATATCATACTAGTAACAAAAGCTTCATATCTGGCATTGTTCAGCTTTCAACAGACGGATGTCTCCTCCATGTACTGTTTGGAAAAGAATTTTCCAGAGAGGATTACTGCTTATAAGAATGATGTGTTTATGCTTGTACAACATCCTGACTTTATTGAATCTGGAAATCAGACTTTAATATCTGAATGAAAGGGCTTTGTTTCACGTGAAGGTTTAAAAAGTGACATAATCGGCCTTGTCTGCTTTCTTTAGGAATCATTACATAGCGGTTTTAGGGGAAAATGTCGGTATAAGGCTTATGTTAGGATGGCCATCAGATCAGTGTGACACGAGGAAGGGAGTAAGCATCAGACATCAATCTCTGGTTTGGGGGGGGCGGGGCGATCCCTGGATAAAATTTGAAAAGGGGCACTTGGGAATCAGGAAGGAGTCTGTTTCAATCGTCCGTGACAAAAGGAGCAGGTGCTCTGTCCCCTAATTCTGCACATCCGTGGTCTTGCCACCATGGAAATGTCCTTTATACTTTATTAGCTACTGCTGTATAGTGCTGGGTAAAATCCCTTTTTGTCTCCAGAACCACTTCCAGGGTAGGCGAGATGTGCCTTTCTCTACTGCGCTGTTATTATTGCACGTGTGACCTGCCTGTTAGCTTTGATGAGCCTGACTGTTTTCCTTCAACCTCTCTCATTAACGAGGCATTTGTGGAAAGCGAGCTGCCCCTTACTGGCTGTTCTTCGCTCATCACATTACTCTCAGTAAACTCTAGACCGTGTAGTATGTGAGATGCCAGGGGAGGGTGGCCGTTTCCACAGCTGGCACCAACAATCACACCAAAATCACTTAGATCTAATGCTTGGCCGCACAGTAAGTGGTCCTCCTGACCCTGTATGGATGCTCCAAGTCTCAAACCCCTTGTGCTAATTACCACACAGCTCTTGAGCTGAATCATTTGTGGTGGAACAGGGAAAGAGCTAAGCTACACAGGGCTCCGGCCCTCCAGGACTGGAGTTTGAGACCCCTGCTCAAAGTATTTAGTTTCAGCCACATGATTCCAAGTTAGGAGGAACAGGCCGTTTGTACCTGACAAGCAGGGGTTCTTGTTGAAGTGGCCAATGAGTGCATATTGTTGAAAGCTGACAGCAGATGAATGAAGAAGGCTTGTCACCTAAATTTGCCTCACTGTGGCACAACATGCCCGTCTTAGCGTAATTTTATAACAACATGATATTTTTTTAAGATGATATTTTCTCATTACTTTATTCGCGCAATTCAAATGCAAAGTGCAGACGCTTCCCAGGTTACGATGGTATGTGTTCATGTTATGATATTTTGACTTTACGCTGTGTGATTATTCAATAAAGCACATGTCATATTCAACCCTTTATTATAATATAGGTTTTGTGTTAAATGATTTTGCCCAACTGTAGGCTAACGTAAGTGTTCTGAGCATGTTTGAGGTGGGCTAGGCTAGGCTATGATGTTTGTTAGGTTAGGTGTACTGTATTAAAATGCATTTTCGCCTTACGATAGGTTTTTCGCAGCGTAACCCCGTCTTAACCTGGGGAGTCCTTGGTAGACTTCTACATTCTGCTGTAGAGAAATTACTCCCGTACAATGAAGATTGTGCCTGTAAAGATCTTTTCTTTGATTCCTGCTTATGTTGTTTTAGTGGCATAAAATCTGCTGGTAAGTATTACATTTGGGGCGATTCTGCTACAGCTGGTAAGTGAAGTGAAGACGTCCCCTAATACCAGCAGCTGAAATCAGAATCACTTAGACGATGTACCATAGACAAAGTTATTTCCTGTTGTGAATCCATCAGAGGTTGTGTTCTTTATCTTCATCTTTACCTTATCTATCTGACGCCTCGTTTAAGGTGTGAAGCTAAGTCACAAATTGCTCACAATCATTAGCAAACAGCTAATGACAAAGTTTCTTTTTAAAAAAAAAAAAAAAAAAAAACTGCAAATGGTGTTTGAGTATTTAGGTTTTAATAGAAGCCCTTGTACCATGAGTCATGTTTTGAGCCTCAGTTTTTTTATGGCAGAACCATAGAATTGATATTCTCCTGGATTGTCTCCCTGCTATATTCAGTGTCCCGAGATGGGATGGAAGCCATGTTAAATTCCTTTTGGATTAAACCCATCACTTGGAAACATCCTTTGTAGACCCCATTGAATACACTGAGCACTGGCCTCGTATGTAAAATGCAGCAGGTGAGATCTGCATCGATTCCGCAGGCTGTCCTCCATGACGGACTGTGGCAGGAGGGTCTCCCGGTGGACGGTGGAGGAGGTCTGCAGATGGGTCCAGGACCATCACTCCTCCGGACAGACTGCCTTCCTGGAGGCGATCAGAACCCACTGCATTTCAGGTGCTTTTCCCGCGACGTTCCACGCTTAACTGCCCCTTTCCACCTGTCCTGTTACTGCCTCAATATATTTGTCATGCAGTATGAAGTCTAAGAAAAAGTCTTATTTCCTTAGGAACACAACCGTCACCAAACCAACATGGCCCGTGCTCACCCTGGCCTTTCTAATTACGTCCCACAAATGGCTTTTCTCTGTTCAGTTAGTCGCTCCTCAGAGACACAGACTTCATTAGTCCCTCACCCTGTGGCATTTCATATGCCATCTATATGCCATTGCGAGCAGTTGATTTATGATTATGGTATTTATACCACTTATTGTGCACAAGTTTGATTTGGTGGCTGGAAATGCAGAGTTAAAAATTCAGACTAATTGTGGATTTTTGGAAATAAGATGTTTCTGTCCATTCATCTTCACACCTTTTATACTTCCTGAGTAGAGTCTCAGTGTGGCTTGGAGCCAATCCCAAGCACTGCAGAGACCCCAGGAAGCTTCACTGGATGCCAGCAATTCGCAGGGCATATACACCAGCACATCGCAGGGCATATACACCAGCACATCGCAGGGCATATACACCAGCACA